TGTAACGCCCCTGTGTCCTTATTTGGTTGTTCCTGTCCTCATTATTAGTTAATTACCTTGATTGTGCTCACCTGTCTGCCCCTCGTTATCTGCCCTATAAGTTCCTGTCTCGTGTATTCTAGTATTGTCGGTTATTGTGAATGTTACCCTGAGTGTGTGTCTCATCTACCCGTATCTGCCTTGTTGTCTCTACATTAAACATCCTTATTTGAATCCTTGTCGTCCTCGTCATCCTGCCTGCCTCCACACACCTTGACCGTGACAATATTTATTTTATTTTAATGAACAGAAATGTTTTTAGTAGTTTAAGTTTTAGTTAACAATAATAACACTGGTTACTGCTAGTGCTAACTATTTTCATGTTCAATGGAGGCAGGTTGTAAAGGTTTCAAGTTTACAATAATATACCATGCATCAAAATCTAAAAATAAGTGGTTGTTTTTATTTAGTTTTCATAAACAGTAATAACACTGCCTGGAACTTTTAAATTACCACAGCAAAATAGAGCACAGACTGATTTAGGATGCCTTTGTGTTGTCCTTGTTCCCTGGAGATATGTCCCAGCTGTAATGGACCGGCTGGGCTCCAGAGTCAGTGTGTAAAAATAAAGAGCAGAACAGTTGCTCACAGCTGTGACCTCTACTTTCACCCTTCAGAGCTGCGCTATTTCTCTTCTTCTCCTCCTCTCCCCACACAACAACACGCCCACCCACCAGCATGAGTTTTCATCAGCAGTTTGCTATGTTACAAGTGTGAATGTAAATACTTTACTAGAGTTCTTTGGATGATCTTTCCCACCATAGTAAATGTTTCCAGCAATAATAGTCTAATATAGACTTGCTTAGACTGAATATTGTCTGCCAGTGTGTGAGTTTAGGGTGGGACTATCTCCGCTCGCTACGGCCAGAGCCGATCCTCCCTATACGCAAAATACGCAAGCTGCGTAGGGCCCCCAAAACCCCAGGGGGCCCCCTTGCTCTCAAAGATGATTTAATTTTACTTTCGTTTTTGAATTTGGCCAGCGGTTATGAAAACATGAATGATCATTTCTTTTAATGTGGTGCGCTGTCGCCCTTTCTACGTAAAAATTTGTCAAATCATGTAATGTGAATGTCATACAGTCTTGCTCAAGACTAAAAAAACGAGTTGAAAGCGTACCGAGCCGCGGAAGAGACACTGTTTCTCAAGCGCAATTCGAGACGGAGTGAAACATGGACAAATGCGTTTCATTAATTCGTTCTTAAATATATATAGTGATAGCAATATATATAGTGCCTCTCTATAGGAATAGACTATACAGAGGTAAGACACTTGGTGTCAAAACTTTCAATACTATGCAGTATATTATAAAGAGAACAAATTATGTTTTAAGAGATTAAAATAAATAGCAATAGGATTTTTTTGATTTTTTTGTTTTAAAACTCTGTTTTGTTTTTCTTATACAGGCCAAACCACACTGGCATTTGCTCATCTAATAAACATTAGTGTTACATGTGCACATTTACTAAATCTGTAGTTACTATCATATGGAAGTAAAATAATGCCATATGTCTTTGAAACAAAAAAGCATGTTGAATAGCACTAACGGAAAAAAATAATGCATTGCATTAACAGTGCTTGCATTTTAATGCCTTGTATTTCCAGGGCTTGCATTTTTAGGTCCTGAAATGTAACATAGTTGTTTATTTAAGCTGTGAATATTTCAATTCAAAATATTTCACACACATTTTCACAATTAAAAATTCAATAATTCATATTCGCCTTCCAGAATACACTTCCAAAATATTCAGTCTGTTTAAAAAGACGACGTATAATATTTGACAGGCAAATTTCTGCCTATTTTATTTCACTTTCCAAATTCGCTTCCACAAATTCAGTGGTTAAAATTCGCACCCAAGGAACCGTCTGACAATTCCACCGACTGGGTTAAAACGTCCAATGTATTTTAATTAAAATTTAAGATAACACACTGTCAAATTCTAAAGTTTGTATTGCTTATAGTGATTTTCTACAGGTGAGAATTTGCCAATACCTTCCTTCATATATGTACAGTACACAATTATTTACATATAAAGGGTTTTTCATGTTCCAACGGTTGTAGTACGTTGCTAGATACAAGACTGACTTACTACAGGTTAGATTTTACCAATATCTCCCTTACAGTATGTACAGTACACAAATATCTTTTTTTTAACTATTCACCAAAAGGTTTTTTTTCATGTTCCACAGGTTGTAGTACGTTGCTAGTTACAAGACTGACTTCATGTGATATTTTGCCAATATCTGCCTTACTGTATGTACCATTCACAATTATTTAAAACAAAAAATAAAAAATCTGTAAGATCCCAAAAGGGATTTTTCATGTTCCAAAGGTTGTATTATAAAATATTGATGTACTTTATGTACAGCAATGGAGGTATTAGCACAATTTTACCTATAGTAAGTCAGTCTAGTCACTAGGAATGTACTACAACCTTTGGAACATAATTTTTTTTTTTTATGTGAACTACAGTAATTTCTTAAGAATAATGATATACTGTATATACAGTGAGGAAGATATTGGCATAATTTAAACTGTAGCAAGTCAGTCTGGTCACTAGTAACATACAACATTTGGAACACAATAATTTTTGGTGAATTACTGTAAATTTTTTCTTAAAAAATATGTGTGTAGTGTACATACTTAGGGAAAGTATTGTCTAAGGCGAGTTATTGGCAATATATATTTAGTCAGTTTGAGTAAATTAGCTAAGGCGCCTTATGGCTTGTTGGGGAATCCTGGAGTGTGACAGGGGATCCCCAGTATTACAGCACAGCGTCACACAAGCCATGATACAAAGTTATGGAAACTAAGCAACCAAAAGCAATATATGTCTTCCTCAGATGTAATGTTAGTTCTGTACTTCAGCGTTTTGTATAAAAAGCATTAAATCTCCTTTGTGGTAGAGAACGCTGCTTACATGTAAGCTATGGGAAACAGGGAAGATGTTGAATTAAACATACACATAATCAGCTTTTCCACATGTTTATACTGGCCCAGATAATCAAAACTTCTACTTAGCGCTTGCTCCATTTCTGCAGATCAGTTTTTGTAAATTACTTCATCAACAGCCGCTTGCGCCACCTGCTGGTGAGTGACTGACAGCAGCTGGAGATCACGCATCGGTGTATCAGGCACAGAAAAAATGGGTTGTACAAAATGATTTGAATGTTGGGTGTATATTTGCCGCATGCTTAAAGACAGTTCTCTGAGGTTCCATACTTATAGATGTCCCTATTTTCATAGAATTAGAACTGTTTTTAAAACTTTATAGTCATAGTTATCATTATAGCATCCTTGGTGTGACTGGGCCTTAACTTTGTGGTGACAAATTTTGCATTAAAAAGCACTCACTGAAATTTTCTTCAAAAAACATTAAAAAATCTTTCTAGCTATTGTTGCAGAAATTACACACTTTGCCTTTAAAGGCAAACGCTTAGGGACTCGTGGTACACTGCATCTCGTGCTTTCGTGCGACTTCCCCATTCAGCGGTGTGAGATACCAGGTCATTCCTATGGACAGAGCATGGCCATAACTTGCATTCCGGCAGCTGATCATTGGAGAGCAGGAACAGAGATGGGACTCGAGGTCAGCTGGTAATCAGCAGACAGCAGCGGGCCTCTCTAATGAAGATGCCTGGCATGGCTGACAAGCTAAAGCAGACGCAGGAGGGATGAATGAGACAGAGTCATATGCTAATAGATGTCACTGTGATGACAGGATGAGGTCATGCTGTGCCAGGCATGTCGCCTCAATGCCAGCCACTACGAATTCCATCTCATCTGCTTTGCTATTGTTTGCTATTATTATGATATTCTTTCTTTTGAATTTTTAGAATCTTTCTAAGAGAATTCTGTCATATATAAATAACACAACATAGAAGCTGGAAAGAAAATTCGAGTACTTGTGCGCAAAAAGTGCTGTGAGTAGTTGCCAGTGTCAAGATACAGTCACATTTACCGCTGTTTGGTAAATTTTCACAGGCAAAATCCAGTAATTTCAAAAAGAATGCATGTGATGGTGAATTTCGTGTCTGGGTTTCCCCACGCAGATTTGCCAACAAATTCATGTTCACCAACAGAAAGCTGTTTGGTTTGAAAGTGTCTTCTGTGTGAGCTGTGTTGCATATGTGGGGAAGTTGTGGCCTAATGGTTAGAGAGTCGGACTCGTAACCCAAAGGTTGCAGGTTCGAGTCTCGTACCGGCAGGGATTGTTCTCAGAATTAAGTCAAACTCACAATTCTGACTTTTTTTTTATGTTTAACCAAAGTCTTCTGAAGAGACACAATCACAATCTTTTTTTTATTATTCAAAAATGCTTGTTTGTTATGCAAGAACTAATGAAGCTTCCGTTTCTTATATTTGATGTGCTCTATGTATGTGTGTTGATTAAGTTTATATGTGAATATAAGTCTAAATTAAATCTATTCATCATATAAAGCAATTGTGTCTCTTCAGAAGACTTGTTTTTGGTGGTGGTGCAGTCTCTGACCTTGTGTCTCCAGTGACGTGAGATCATGGCAGGATGCATTCTGACAGAAGCAGGTGTTATAGGCGCCAGGACTGAATCGCCCAGTTCTGACACTGCCCCCACATGTCAAAGTCCAGACCCTGAATATAAGACGACCGCGTTTTTTCAGATGTATTTCCAAGAAAAAAACATCGTCTTATATTCGGGACAATACGGTAATAGCAATAGTCTTGTCTTACCCAGAACATTATAGACAGAGCCCTGCTGACTGTGTCCGCCCAGCTGATCCAGAACAGTCTGCCTTCTTTTCTTCAGGGTGTTGGCATCAATAAAAGCCCTGAATAAAATACAACAAGCTCTTACAGTCTTAAAGGGGCAAAATAGTACTGTTGCAATGACAAAATGCAGAGATTGTGTTGGCCAACCTGGCATGCTGGATACAATTAAGAGTAAAGGTCACACTTCCAGTGGTTTGAGTGCGAAAGCCAAAACGACTCAACCGCTCTCCCTAAAAATAGAAGCAAGAGAACATTAAACTGTTTAATTGAATTACTGGACATGCTAGTGCAAATCTTTACAGCAGGAAGTGTATAATGAGTCACCTTGAAAGTGCCAGGCACTCTGACATAACTGATGTCCTCGAGTTCAGGTGCTCCGCCGATGAAGAAGCGTCTCAGTTCAGCCACCGTGCCGGACTGGAGGGGTCTCCATGTGTGGCAAGTCATCTTGTGATACCCTGAAAACATGAAGTCACTATTGAACAAGCTGATACAAATTTACTTAATAGAACTTACTAAATTTACTACAGTTCATTATATAAACGATGTCCTGGGTTTAAAATCTTGAATTGGAATGACATGTGACAAAAGTACATCATTGTGATTAATAAAGTGGATCACCCAGGCTGCATTTATTTGATCGAAATAAAATATTGTAAAATATTATTACAATTTAATATAAGAGTTTTCTATTTGAATATATTTTAGCAGCCATTACACCATTATTCCAAAATGTTTAGAATTATAATAAAATGTGTTTAAACACATTTTAAAATGTATTTATAGCTGAATTTTCAGCAACCATTACTCCAGGCTTCACTGTCACATAATCCTTCAGAAATTATTCTAATATCCTGATTTGGTGCTCAAGAAACATTCCTTTCAGAAATGATTTGTAACATGCCTTTACTGTTTCTTTTAATTAATTTAACACATCTTTGCTTAATAAAAGTATTAGTGCTGTCAAACGATTAATCGTGATTAATCGCATCC